AACGGAGACTGTCTTCCGCAGAATCCACGTTGCTAAATGCTTATTTCTTGCAACGATAAGGGCAGGGCGGGGCGGGGTGGGGGCCGGGCAGGGCGAGGCGCCGCCACAGGTGGCGGGGCGGCGCGGCACGGGGTGGGGCGGACGGGCAAAGCGGGTGTGGACGGGGTTGCAACAATGCTTGCTGGTTCGATGTCTTCATTTTCAAACTTATTGGCACCCGGGCGTTTCGCTGAAATCCGGGACGCGGCCAGACATTCAAGAACACCCGTCCACGCGAAAGACCACGCGATTCGCTGGCAATAGCGCGTGCGCGACACTGTGGCGAGAGCATGGTTAGCAAAACCAACGGCGCTGTGCGGTCACGATGGGGCAAACGCTTTCAAGTGTGGCGGTGCCAGTGACCTCAAGCAAATGCACGGCAACGGCGGGAGCGTGATTTCGCGAGGCGGACGCACTGTGGCGGAGCACGATTACTAACTTTGGGGTGTCCGCATACCCTTGGAAGGGTGAGGGTTTTGAGACCACCCCGACGTGCGCAACTGCAGAGATTTTGGAGCGAAGTGAAAGGCGAAGCCAGCACGGGAGTGCAGGCGGAACCCGGTTTCCATTGAATTGCGGTCGTCGTGATGCCAAGCGAAGCCTGATGTCACCTCACATCGACGTGCCTGCACTGGTCCGACAGCAGCGGCCGGGATACGAAACGGGAGCAGGGGGTTTGAGGTTGCCATTGAAATGGAGTGAGTTGAGGTGTATGTCTTCAGACATGCTCGTCGTGAGTCCTTGCCCGGTAGCTCCTGTTTCAGAGTTGGATTTCGAGAAGCCCAAAACGTTGCATTCGAGAGGATGCCGCCGTTGACGCCGCCCTCGCCGATGCCAAGGCCTGGGGCGGCATCCTTTGTTGTAAACGCGGTGATCCTCAGACATAGAGTACACAGAGTCCGGCTTGGGTTCTTGATTATAGAACTGGATCCAAACTTGCCAGTCTCTTCTCGTCAGGAGGTGTTGAGGGATTCCTGCGGCGGTTTGGTGTCAGGCTCGAGGCTCAAGGACAGGGTTTAAGGGCTTTGAGCTTCATCCAAGGGCACCATGGCAGTGTAGTAGTAAGCGACACAAACAACATGCAGTGGTAGTCACGCCCTGAAAGCAGGCAAGCCCCTATAGGAGTCGCAAGGAGCGCTGGCCAAACACTTTTAAGGCTGCACCTAAGATCAAGGTTATCCTGCCGTTTTAGATGGGGCTTTGAAGAGGCCACAACTGTTGAAAGATGTTTGTGGAGGAGCGGTGCGCCGCGATGGTTGCTGCGAGGATGGGGTGACTCGTCACGAGTATGATGTCCTGTCGTGCCTCCATATGCAAAAGACTATGCTGACGCTAAGTGCGTGGAGGATGTGTTTCGTTTGTGTGAGTGCGCAGTGTGGCAGGACAGAGCAGGTGGCACAAGCAGTTCCCGTTCCGATATTTGATCCGCCACCGCCTCGCGAAATCAACCAAATCGTCAATGTTCCCGTCCATGCGACTCGTTTGCACGGGTCAGTCAATGCACTGAGGCTTCGTATCAGAAGTGGGGTTCTTGTTACGAAGCTGCAAGGATCCCAGCCTTGTCATCAAGTTTAAGACTGCCGGGCCACCTCGCGTCGTGAAGCACTACGTTACGAAGACGCACTATGTGCCCGAGCCCGTGCCGTCGCTGCCGACATACCACTACAAGCCTGTTGCAGTCCCTGTGCATGTACCAGGGAAGGCCGTCCACGTGCCAATTCCCATGCCGGCCAAGACCATCTACAAGGAACTTCCAATCACCAAGGTGCAGCATGTGATTCAGAAGCGCTCCTATGACTGCGTTGCTGGCTTGAACTGGAAGGGCTGCCCGGGAACATGGCAAGGGGATGGGTTGACGAAGACGATCGTCACAGGGGTGACCCAACACATTGGCCTTGGCCACGTGAACGTCATCCATCGTGGAATCAATCACATCGTCACCGCTCCTGTCTGCGCGGCTTGTTTGCACAGGTCAATGCACTGAGGCTTGGTATCAGTACTGGGTTATACTCGCATCAAAACTGCACGGATCCCAGACCCATATCGATATTAAGGCTGTTGGGCCACTACGTGTCGCACCACTTCGGTGGCTTTCATCGCCTGGTCCTAGCCTAAAAGTTTCCAGTTGCGAACCGGCAGAGTGCGGCAATTGCGCTATAGATGAGTCTTCTGACTGCTAGACCTCGACTCCTCGACTTCACTGCTGCAGGTCAGCTTGTGTGTCCGGGAGCTTTGCACCAGCGGCCCCCTCCTGGGGACTTACGGAGGATTGATGGCTCCTTGTGGTCTCTGTGAACTGTAAAATGAAGTCACCACGCATGGGGGATGTTTGCTACTGGTAGGCGCAGTCTCAGCGACACCAGTAAACGCTTGATCGGACGTGAACCCATGATCCAGTGTGCGCGTGTGTGTGTGGGTAGTTGTCCTGTTTCCTCGTCTGTACGATTCTGTACATTGACACAGACTTCAGCAAAGAAAGAGAGTGGCCTAGCAGGCCAGTACGAGGTTGCCCGGCAGAGGCTTCAGTCCAATAAAGTATTGTTTATGAGAGTTTATGCCAGTTTATGCCTCGTGCTGCCTGCATGTTGCATCGAACATGCCGTGGAGGATCCCCTGCACACCGACCTTGTGCCAATGGCAGCGGCCTGATGACTTTCTCTGCGGTTATGCCTCATGCTGCCTCATGCATGCCCATGCCATGTGCTGTAAGGGCCGTAGCCCCGACCGGTCAATGTGCCAACGTACCTGGAGCCTGACGGCTTCATCCCGCGGGAGCTGACTAATTCAAGAGCCATGCGGGCTTGTCAGGAGCCATGT